GAGAGTAGAACCATTAAAACACCTCTTTTTTTTGTTTTTTAAGGTCAGCTCACAGTAGAAAATACCCTTTTCATCACTACCCAGAATACACATAGATACACATAGATTAAAAAATTGAAACAAAAGTTTTATTTATAAAGCAACACTGTTAAATAAAGTTACTATTATGATTTTATTCATTGTTGCAGGTATGCTTGCCTGGTCTAAACTTCTTTCCAGGCTGGAGACATAAGGACAATGCTACATGCACAACCCAGGTGCTTTGTGCTTTGATGTCTACAAAGGGTGCCAAAAAAATGTATACACATTTTAAGAAAGGAAAAAACTGTATTAAAATTGTAATACTCAATATATACCGATAACAAAAGATGAGTACAAGTCATATGTATACATTGTTTTGGCACCCCTAGTATGTCTTCCCACTGTTTTTAGTTATGTTGGTTAAAAATTCTGGTTCACACAAATAAGTTGCTGAGGATGCTATTGATAACAATATACTACTGTACCTAGCAACTGAAATTGCAAATTTTATTAAATTCGTTTTTAACCTTAAGCTAAAATGGCTATAAACTTATAATCATTCTTCAGTATGTTTTAATAACAAAGCATTAATGTTCATTTTTTTTCTTTGAGCATCAACTTTAATTCATTTGTGGATTTAGATGTTTGAAAAACAATGAATCTTGTATCCAAATGGTTTTCCTTGATATTTCATATTTCTCCTTTGGAAATGTTGGAAGTTTAAGACAGATTTGCAATATCATAAATATCTTTAATTTTATTCCATTCAAAGTGTCTTCATTAAGCATGTTCTCTTCCTGTATTGCAAAGTGTTAAGAACATATAGTAACCATGGTGATTACTTAAAATGTATTTTGTAACTGTTGCATATATTCATCATCTTGAAATGTATTGTTACTCTTTCCCTGTAGATCCAAATTCAGTTAATTCAAAACATAAAAAAAAAAATATGAGCTATATATGCGTATACCAATTTTGTTGCTGAAATATCATCTCAAAAATGTTTGCTAAATGAAATTGCTTTTAAACAGAAAAATGTGAATCCCAATCTTGAGTTCATAAGGCTTAGTTGGTATTTTCCTCATAACAACCAATAACTTCAGGATGTTATAATGTAT